CTAGTTGGGGTACAGGTACGGCAGATAGTGTAGAACCTTCGAGCGGACTACTTAAATTAGGCACTCAAAAGGTGCACATGTGGCTATATGTATCCTTACTATAATTGAAAAACATAACTATCTAATAAAACGTTTCCCGGCCAAGAGGTCACCTTAATACCGAAAAAAAAAAAAAAAAATTTTTAACATGATAGATATTTTTCAATTATAAATGAAAGTCGATTTGTATAATAAAAAACCAAGATAATACAAAAGAAAAATTACACAAGGCTGCATAGAGCAAACACATCACGAGATTACCTGATAGTCACCTGTTACCTTTAACTAATCAAAATCATGAAATTTGATAATCTCAGATCAGTCTGAAATCAAAACAAATGATTAAACTCAATTATCTCAAAATAAAATATATGTAAAAATGGTCTGTTTCTATTGAAATCACTCCATATTACCATTACTATATTAATACAAAATAATATCTATCTGAAAATAAGGAAAGATTTTCTAAATTCTATATATAGTTGACCTTCAATAAATACATATTGTTGAGTAATAAAATATTCATTATAAAGGACAATCTATATATAATATTAAATAATTATATTAGACTGATCAAATTATATACACTTATCATTATGTATATAAAATGCAATACCAATTTGAGACTATGCATATAAGCTATTTTTGAAGGTCTTGATTTTCAAAATAGTATAAAGAACTTACAAACTATATTAACAAAATATTTGAATTAATTAGAATTAATATTTATTAGGTATTTCCTTGTATATAATTTACTATAAAACAACCTAAATTTCTACTTATAAACAATATTTTACACTTATATGATATTAATAATAAACTTATCTCACCTATAATGTGACTTTAATAACAATTTATTTTGTTGTTTAGGCAAAGTTTTTTAAATCATCTTTAAAAAACCTAATGCTTCAAGTATATAGAAAACTGTCTAAAATTTTTATAAATTAATTAAAAACTTTAGCATTTATATTTAACTATTATTACTATTTCTACTTAAAAAATATTTTTACTATACAAACTCTCTCTGTTGATTACCAAAACCAAATTTGGAGCTAAAGAACAACCAGGGCTCAGACACAATTTTATTAAGACAACAATAGAACTTGCTTTAAGCAAAAGAATAGAACACAAGAAAAGAACTTGAGTTTCTTAGAACAACTTTATTCACTACGCCCTCTAAAGTGCAATACTGAGAAAATAAGACACTTTTGACAAAAATTTAAAAAATTTTTTGAGAAATTTTGGGAATTTGCTATTATTTCTGTACTGCAGATTACATCCAAACAAAACAAACAAACACAACTACTTTAGGCGAACAAACAAACAAACCAGAATCAGTAGACAAGCAACCAACAAAACAAACAACCACATGTATCTACAAGCAACAAAACAATATGTGTAAAATGCCTAATCTTATTATTTATAAAAAATTTTTCAATAAGTCGGAAACTGAAAGGGCAGCAGTACAAGAAGAGCAAAAGGAATTTATATTTGAACAAGATAGAAAAGTTGCAAAATATCTAAGCACTAGCAAAACTTATCTTATCGCAATTATATACAACGTCTTACAACACTTTGACTATGCTCAACACAAGCTATCAAGAGAACAAACCTTAGAAGAAGAAGAAAACCTCCTGTTAGAACACATAAGCATCAATACAATGCAAACAGATGACACAAATAGTAATTTAGCCCAGAAAAGCATCATTAAGATAAAATCTAAACCTTCCCTCATAGAAGACCTAATCGCATATCCAACTGAACCCCCAAAAATAACTAGTATCGACACAGAACATAAGAGAAAAGATAAACCATTGTCTAATAAAAGTGAAGTCCAAACAATACAGTTCCCTATGGAAACTGCTCCAACACCACCATGTATTGAAACTGAAAACACAATGTGCAACATAGAAATAGAATCACAAGACAACTTTTGAAAGAGAGCTCTAATAGAGCAAGAAGAGGTAGCACATATTCCAAAAGATTATCTAGAAATATATTATTAGAGAAAAAGTGTAGTGTACCAGATTACAGGCTCCAAGAACTCATCAAAGATGAATTACAGGCAGACACAAAATCTTTAAAGCAAACAAGATACAAGAAAACTAAACAATATGAAAATATTTACAATTCATCTTGGGCCCTAAAAAATAAAATTATATACTAAGAAGTTTTTACCTCATCTACTTTTCTCTTTACGATATGGGATCTACCAAAAGATATGAAAGCATACCGAATCAAGTCATATCTGAATGTATATAGTACAGCAACTGTTATCGTATAGCAACAGAACTTTAGAACAAAGGCAGCATTCATCAAGATCCTACCAAACTCAGAACAAAGAGAAAAATCTTTAAAAGAAAGCTGGTCAATTCACCTGGAACATGGCAAAACGTACCAAACTACTCCGGGCAAGTTTGACATTGCTAAATTAGAATTAAGAAGCTACTACAAAGGTGTTATCTTGAATATACCAACATCAGCATACAATAGCCTTCTCTTATGACAACTTAAAAAATATAAAGTCCAAGCAGTATATATCCTATATGATCGAAATGAAAATCAAAGAAAAAGTGCTCTTGTATATTTCAAATCTGAAGAGGATCTTCTTTTAGCCCAAGGCTGCAATATATACTATTTTAATACCAAACTTAAATGGCATCTAACCTCAAAAACAAAAACCAAAAAGATTTTTCCAATAGCATGTTCCTATACAAGAAGGAAGTTAAAAGCCCAAATAGAGAGAGAAAGGCAGGAATTAAAACAGAAAGGCCAAAAGGAAGAAAAATGTCTAAGCGCATTTTTATTAAATAGTTAAGCAAAACTAGAGACCCCAATGCTACCCATACTGACAACCAGGAAAATGGTAGAACTAACAACTTCTGTAAATCTCATAACACTAACAGAGTACCCCTCAGAAATCTAGAAAATAATTTTGCAACTGGTTCGAATAAAATAGAAATAAGGAAAAAAAGAGAAAATCAAGAAGAGCAAGAAAATAGAATACTTTATGATGGAAACTTTACAAAAAAAACTAAATCATATAGTGTAGATTACAAAAAACAGAGAAGTAACCTTACAGTCAATTGTGAAACACAAAATAGTATTTTGGAGCAAATCTTAAATAGATTACAAAAGGTAGAAGAAAAACAGGGGCCCTGGCTCCAAATTTCTTCTAAGGGCACCCCAGTTGAATTAATAAAAACAGACAAGCAAAATAGCTTGTCAGGGCAAACTTCACTTAAGATAACCAATAATGCCCTAGAATTAGACCCAAAACTAGCACCAAAAAATATAGATCAAAAAAACAAAATAGAAAAAAGCTTCAAGCAAGTAAAAATAGGTTTTTACAATATCAATGGCATAAAAGATAACAGAACAAAGCTGCAAGAGCTAATAGATTTAGATATAGAAGAAAATATAGATATTATAGAAATAACAGAAACAAACATTAATACAAAAGAAGTAGCTTTTCTCGATGTTAATTGGCAACATTATAGAGCCTTCTGGACAAAAGACAATATAGAAAAAAGAAAAGGATCGGGAGTAGGATTACTAGTAAGAAAGGAATGACAAACTCACCTCACTAAAGTAATAGTAAAAAACTCTTATGCTCTAAAAGCAGTCTTTAGATTCAAAAGAACAATACTAGTAATATGGGTAGTATATTTTCTACCAAATGACAAATATAAAAAAAAAAAGATACAACAATGTATAACAGAAGATGCCATCAAAAGCAAATCAAATATGAAAATAGTTATAGGAAGCGACTTTAATACAGAAATAGGTAATGAAGCAGGTATTACTCTAAACAATAACACAGAAGAAGTTACACAAAAGAACAATCGATATAAACTCTCGATTATAAGATGGTTACAAAATGTAGGCTTTGAAGAAGCATTTATACTTATTAATCTACAGATTTTCAAAGCAACCTAGGCCAACTCCAAATCTTGCTTAAAAATAGATCATATCTAGTTAGATCCGAAATTAAAAGATCTTGTGATAGATAGTGATATTGAAAACATGGATCTTGTTACAGGAGGCGATCACAACTTAATATGGACAAAATTGCTACTAAGCCCCATACTTCATATAAACTCTATCGCTCAGCAAAGAAGAAAAGATTTTAGTTAACAGAAAATATACCTTTACAATAAAATAACCGAAGAAAATTGAAAAGACTTTGCATTGTTTTTAGAAAAATATATTGAAGAATACAGTAATAGAAAGGCTAAAAAAAAAACTGTAACATCTAGTTTGTCAAACGAAGACTAGATAAACGAAGTATGGGAAAAGCTAGCAGAACTAATAAATAAAGCTGCAATTAAAACAATTTCACACAAAAAGATCCAGAACACTATAGTAGAAAAACAAAAACAGGTTATATGAAACCCAAGATATAAATAGATTAAGCAGCTAAGAAGAATAGGCCGTCTAGAGCGCCAAAATATAAACAAAGAAATTAAACTCGAAGACCAATGCTTTTTAAATACCCAATTAGAACAAGTAAACATAAATAACGAAACTGAAATCCAAGAGATTGGAGAAAGATGGTCAGAACAGTGGATCCAAGATCTTAAAAGTTGGATAAAAGTAATAAAAAGAAAAATGATATCAGAACAAAAAATAAAGCAAGAGAAAAGAATAAGAGAAAATATCGAAAGAAGATTTGGTATGATCGAACGAGAGGATAAAAAAAATGCTCAATAGTATCCTCGAAAGACCCTAGAACAAGATTGTAATAGAAAGAATACTTATGACAACAGACATTATAACAGGAAAGAAAGAGCTTATATATAAGCCAGATGATGTCAAAAAAGAGATAGACAGCTATTTTGCAAAACAATTTAAAGAAGACACCCGCCCCCGGGAAACGAAATAAAGACATGAAAAGATGAATATATACTATGCAATTTCATTCAACAATACTAGTACAACAATATTCTAGATAAAATTACAATAGAAGAATAGAAAGAAATGCTCCAAAAAATCTCTAACAAATTAGCCCCAGGGTTATTTAATATAGGTTATACGATTCTTAAAAAACTTGGAGAAAAAGCCACAAATCTCCTTCTAAATCTGCTCAACAAAATTTTAGAAAAAAGTATTATGCCAAAAAAATGGAAAATAGTGATGATCTTTCCAATCCCAAAACTACCAGAATGGGACCTACAAATAGGAAGCACAAGACCCATCATGTTACTAGAAGCAGCAAGAAAAGAACTCATAAGAATTATCTAACAAAGACTTAGCGATGTTATTATTCAACATAAGATACTAAGAGGACTAAACTTTGCAGTGCTTCAAGGAGAATATACCCAAAAACCGATACATATTATGAATGCTCTTATAGAAGCTGCAAAACAAGCAAATTAGAAAATATAAATAACATTTATAGACATTAAAAAAGCATTCGACACAGTAGACCTTAGAAGGCTTCAACTTGTATTAAAAAGAATCAAGATTCCCAAAAAACTAGAAGTATTTCTGGTTAACATGTTCACAAACAGAAAGGTTAAAGTTATTACCAAATTTGGCCTATCAGAGGGGTTCCGTCCTGAACGTGGTATAGATCAAAGAGAAGTAATTTCTTCTCTACTTTGGAGAATCTATTTTGACCTATTACTTTGTAAGCTATACAAATGTAATTATGGCGCAAAAGCAAGAATAGAGTGGCTAATAGAAATAATCTGAGGAGAGACGAAAATAGAGGAGATTCAAGTTGCCGGCCTGGCGTATGCTGATGATATCACGCTTTTAGCAAACTTTAAAGAGAATATGCAAAATATAATCAACATTGCAGAATCCTTCTTTCGTTTAAACAATATCGAAATAAATACTAAAAAAACAGAACTTATAGTGATAAATAAAAAAAATAAGAAAGAAGAAAAATCGGTTCTTATCAAAGAGGGAGAAGAAAAGCTAGTAGCAAAAGAAAAGAGAGAAATAACCCGATATTTGGGAGTCTGGTTAACTGCAGCAAACTTGAGATGTACAATTAAGAAGAAGCTCAGTATAGAGATTAAACAAATGGCCAACTTGCTGAATAGAAAGAAAATCTCTATAGAACATATTAAATATATAAACAATATGGTACTATTACCCAAAGCTGAATATAGACTAAATATGATAATGCTCTCCAAAGAAGAATGTGACAAACTGCACTAGCCGATAGTTAGAGTAGCAAAATAGAAAGCAGAGCTAACTTCAACTGCCTCCAACTCTGTTCCATTGCAAAATGACATTTGGGAAATAAACTCTTTGTGGCAATGACATACAGAACACATGTTTACTAAATGGGTAATTAGAATTAATAACCCAGACCTTGTGGGAGACCTTACTAGAATAAGGTTAAAAGACACACAACTCTCTCTACGCTCTACAGCACTGATTTGGCTTCTAGAAAATAAAAAAATTCAAAAGTGGAAATGGAAAAACAACCTCAATACAAGTATTCTAGTAACAGCCAAAAACCTAGGCCTTAATATTAAGAACATAGATGTGGAGAAAAACTGGAACATAATCTTAGATAATAATCCGGTTAATGAGATCAAGATGTTACTAAATAAAGAGGATTTAGAAAAAGCTAGCCAATCTCTCTGTAACATTAATCTATAGTATCTAGAACAAATAACTACAAAACAAAATAACATTTTGCTCACTTGGCAACAAATTAAAAAAAACCGAGAACTTAAACCAAAAGAGAAAACTCCTCAATGGTTTCGAAAGCTAGAAGAAACAGTACTAGCAAATGAACTTACTCGGAAGATTCATGAGACCTATATCCAAGAACAAGCGAGAAACAAAATCCAAATAAAGCCCAAAAGAAGGAAAATATCTTATAAGGGATCCAAAAAAGAATAGATAATAGGCAAAAGAAAAAACGACAAAGCACTATTTATAGGCAAAATACAAAAGAAACCTCCAAACCAAA